ATTGCATCGGTGTTCCCGTTTAGTGCCTCGGTCATCAGTGACTCCTTGGAGGGTGCCTCAGCTACCTGTGCCAACGCATCCTGGGAGTTGCTGGGCAAATGGATGGACAGCACTTCAGTCCTAACCTGCAGGGTCCCCCCACCTACAGGGCCTCCTGCTCTCTATAGGCAATGGTTTCAGCCTCTCCTTCAAACCCAGCCTCAGCAGGGGCCACTGAGTCACCCAAACCTCAAGTCTGGCTTTCGGGAAACAGCCACCGGCCTAGAAACGTGTCACTGTGAGAAGGAAGGAAAGGGAAAGATAACTGGAGGCCTGGGGTCCAGGCAGCCTCTCCCCTCTCTCTCGCCAGAAAACAGAGGGCTCCCCTTTCCTCACTCTGATCCTTTCTCACTCTTATTCTCTGTTCAGGAGAACTTGAGTCTGTGGCTAATCCTTGAGATCCAGAATGAGTCAGACATGGGTTTGGAGTCTGGACTCTCCATCTACCAAAGGAAAATCATAATGCACCTTCTTCCCGGGAGTGAGGGTCCATGCGATAACTCACAGTGGGGCATGAGAGAGTAGGAGGTGAGGGTCCACTGTTTTCCCCAGGAACATCTGGACAAGGTCAGAGGTGGATGGCTCCATCCCTGGTGCCTCTCGGACCACTCTGGGAGGTTTCCAGCCACACGGCAGGAGAGATGGGCCTCCAGATGCCCTGGGATGCTGCGATGGTGCGGGGGTGGGGTGGGTGGTGCAGGCTGAGGGAGGGGGGCTGGGGCTCCACTTGAATAAACTTCACACCTAAGATCAGTCCAGGCAGAAGACTCCGGGAATTTCCTACCACCATCACTGCAGATGTCCTATTTATAAAGCTGAGTCACAGCAGCCGCTGTTTCACAGTCACTCAACATGTGGAGACAGGAAATGAGGGGCACACCCAGAAACAGGGCCTCACCCACCCACAGGCAGGGGACACCCTGAGTCCAGCCTGACTGTCCCGCTCTTAAAAGCACCTTGACAGGCTCTGGGCATTTGTGTTTCTGGACCAGCTTTCTTTCTCTCATCGCATTGACCCCTTTCTGGCTTCTTTGCTCCAATGTAGCCTGCTCTGTTTCAGGGTTATAAACTTCCACAGAAAGTCTGGCATCTTCACGGCTGGCTTAAAAGCTGTGCCAGGCCCTTCTGGGAGGTGGGGGGCCCTCCATCTCCCTCCGAGACCCAAGGGATCAGGCATGTGAGCGGATCTAACAGTGCCTGTCTGCTTCTCCGCATGATCACGTGGGCCCGAGTGCCTCTGCTCATCCCAGTCTCTGTGTGAAAAAAGCAAGTCCTCCTAGGAGTGATTCCTTTAGTCCAGGGGTGTGGACGCCTGGGGTACAGACTTCATCAAAGGCAGCAAAGGAGCAAAAGGGAGCCGAGTTCAGCTAAGACCAGCAGCACTTGCCTGCCCATCAGCCCGTCCTGGGGAAGCCCCGGAAGGAGGGTCTGGAGGGGTACCCTCCTCACCTCCCCACGTTTCAGCCACTCCACCAGCAACTGAAATCAGGGTCACCGATCACGGCTGTGAACAAGGCCTGGCCATCCTGACCCCAGCAATACCGTCAAATGCTGGGCAAACATACTTCCCCGCCCCACAGGTGTGCAGAGAAGTTTCCAAACCAAAGCAACCTTCATAGTCAGCCACAGTTACTCATCAAACAGGCACACCATGCATGGTCAAAACATTCTTACCTCCTGACCCTCCCTCAATAAACTTCTGCTCAGGACCAAGTGTGGGAACCCCCAGCTCAGTGAGCCTTGTGGATCCAGCTCTGACTCCTGGGAGTTCTGGGGATGTGGGAGGTTCAGACTTGGGGGTTCTCAAGCCCCGAGGCTTTGGGAGTTAGGGTCCCAGCAGCGCAGGTGACAAGGGCTGCATGGGCTGGACTGGGAGGGGCCCGGGTGCTCACACCCATCGCCCAGCTGCTCCAGCTCCTCCGCCATCCCCACGTCAGGTGACCAAAGGACCCTAGGGTTTCTCTGGGTGGCTCAGCCGGATAGCGGGGCTGTGTCCTCCTGCTCTTCTTGACCTGAAGCTTCTCTTACTGTCCCTGAGACTTCTCCAGACAAACCCCTCACCCCATCAATGTCCCCTTCAAAAGTCTTTCCTTCTTCTCTGTCTTCTTCCTCCTCCTTTCCAAATCCCTCCCTCTCTCTTTTGATAGCAGCCCCTCTCTTCCCCTTTCCTGTTATCAGAGAACGTTAAGCCACTCTTTCTCCCATCACAGTGGTCAGTGGCCTGACTACAAGTCTCTGAAGCCACGGAGACCCTGGATGTTCACATCACAGACGCCTGGCCCCTCCCTGGAGGAGGAAGCATTTTCCAGTCCTTCCTCTGAGTCACACCCACAACCCTCACCACCCACCTACCACAGAGATTAAATATGGTGGCTGCTTCTTTACTGTAGCAGTGGAAACATAGAATGTCAACTTAGACAAAAGAAAGGTTGAAACAAATGAGAACTGACAAGTTTCAGGAAGTTTGCCAGGCACAAATCACCTTGCACAAATTAACAGCATCTCTCCCCACCCACAGTAGCTGCTAGGAAATATTACTGAAAAGATACCATTCACCACAGCAACGGGAATTATAAAATACATAGGGGTTAACCAAGAATACACAAAACTTCTACACAAAACTTTTTTTTAAAATTCTAATAAAGGAAACAAAATGATCTAAATAAGAAGAGCATATTCCATGCTTTTGGGCTGTATGGCCTAATAGAAGATGACTTATCTTAGATGACTCTGTAAAGACCTAATTGAATTCATGATTAATCTATAAATTCAGCTGAATCTCACTCGAAGTTCCAGTTGGACTTCTTTTTGAGGAATAATAAATAACTTTCAAAAAGAAGGGCAAAGAAGAGAGACTTGCTCAAACACACTGCACATCCATACTAGTACAGCATGGCACCGGCTCAGCGACAGACAGACCAGTGGGACAGAATGGAAAACACTGCAATGTTCCCATGGGTTGTGTTTGAACATATACATATCAAGTTTCCCTGGGGGCTCAGACAGTAAAGAATCTGCCTGCAATGTGGGAGACCTGGGTTCGATCCCTGGGTTGGGAAGATCCCCTGGAGGAGGGCATGGCAACCCACTCCAATATTCTTGCCTGGAGAATCCCCATGGACAGAGGAGCCTAGCTGGCTATAATCCATGGGGTCGCAAAAGAGTTGGACACAACTTAATGACTAAAATCAACGACTGTCTAGCTTATGCTATAGTAGCAAACAAGTCCCGATATCTTGATAATTGTTGAATCTAATGTAATGGGTATAGCAGGTTTGACAACACTATCATCTCTCCTTTCACACGTTTGAAATTTTCCATATTAAAAGTTTTCTTATTTTAATCTCTATGGCTTAAAACAACAAAAATCTGTTTCTTGATCCTACTATATGCCCATCATGGATCAGTCAGGTCCCTTCCCACTCTGTCCTCGCTGAGAGGCACAGACTAGTGAGCACCTGCTGTCTGCTTACATGGCAGAGGAAAAGAGCCGTGTGGGGCCGTGGGATGGTACTTAAGGCTTTTGCCTGGAAGTCAAATATATCTCACTATTGACGTTTCATTGATAAAACAAGTCACACGGCCACACTTAACTTTTGTGACTCAGGAAAATACGACCCACCTATATGCTCAGTAGGAGACCTGGAAATATTTGGCGAACAGCATAAATGATTACCACGGCTCTGAAGACACGAGTCTAGAAATTAAAGGCCAAAACGTACTGTGATACACAACAGTTTTTATCGAAGAATTTCAACACCCCCTACCCAAATGCTCAGCTTTCTCACTTATGATAAAACACTCAACATTATACCAAGATTGGGAGATCCACAATGGCAGGGACAGTTTGTCTTTAACTTTCTAACCCAGAGCACCTGTTTTGTCTTTAGCAGGTGCTAAATTCAGGTTTACTGAACTGAAGAGACCCCGGAGACAAGCAGTGTGAACTACCAGGCTACTACGCTTGCTCTTTGGACGGAAAGCAATGACAAACCTAGACAGTGTATTAAAAACCAGAGACATCACTTTGCAAACAAAGGTCCACATAGTCAAAGCTATGGTTTTTTAGTCATATACAGATGTGAGAGTTGGACCATAAAGAAGGCCAAACACCAAAGAATTGATGCTTTTGAACTGTGGTGCTGGAGAAGACTCTTGAGGGACCCTTGGACAGCTAGAAGAACAAACCAGTCAATTCTAAATGAAATCAGTCCTCAATATATATTGGTAGGACTGAAGCTGAAGCTGAAGCTCCAGTACTTTGGCTACCTGATGTGACGAGCCGACTCATTGGAAAAGACCCTCATGCTGGGAAAGATTGAAGGCAGAAGAAAGGGACAACAGAGGATAAGATGGTTGGATGGCATCTCTGACTCAATGGGCATGAGTCTGAACAGACTCCAGGAGATAGTGAAGGACAGGGGAGCCTAGTGTGCTGCAGTCCATGGGGTCGCAAAGAGACACGACTAAGTGACAAATCAACACCACCATGGTTGATCTCTCTTGGTCAAGAGCCCTGAGCTTAAACTCACTTATGCCAGGGACTCCAGAAGGGAACCTTGGGATCACGCCACCCAAAGGCATGCATCTTACAGGTGAGAAAACTGAACCTCAGAGAAAGTAACCTAAGTAAGGATTTCTATTTTCTGGAAGTGTCTATGGCCAGCAGTGTGCCCTGCAGTTTGTTGCGGTTTGCTTCTAAAGTGTTCGGATGGAACAGAGCTAGGGAAACCCCTTCTCCCAATCTCCAGCCTCCCTCCAACTTCTTTTTCAGTCGGCGCAACCTTTAGAACCAATCACTCAGATATCCTCTGCCCCTGGAGCAGCCAACACCTTTTTTTGAGCTTAGCTCTTATTTCCACTCAACCATGAGCTCTCAGATTCGACAGAATTATTCCACAGAGGTGGAGGCCGCAGTCAACCACCGAATCAACACGCATCTGTGGGATTCCCACACCTACCTTTTTCCTGGGTGTCTGTTTCAACTGCAGTGATGTGATTCTCGAGGGCCTGGGCCACTTTTTCTGCGAACTGGCTAAGGAGAAGCACGAGGTCCCTGAGCATCTCCTGAGGATGCAAAACCAGCACAGTGGCTGCACCATCTTCCAGGATGTGCAGAAGCTGTTTCCAAGATGAGTGGGGTGAAACTCTGGACGCTATGAAAGCCATCAAGCTCGTAGAGAAGAACCTGAACCAGGCCTTTTGGGTCTGCATGTCCTGGTCCTGACTGTGCGGACTCCCAGCTCTGGCTTCCTGGAGAGCCTCTGCCTAGATGAGCAGGTGAAACTTATCAAGCAGATGGGCAGCCACCTGACTAACCTCCCAGGCTGGCTGGTCCTCAGGTGGGGCTGGATGAGGACCTCTTTGAAAGGCTTGCCCCCAAGCATGACTAGGAGCCTCTGGAGCCCATCAGCCTTTGAGGAACCCCTCTGCATCCCCCCTGGTATCAGGGTTTCTGCCTGAGCGTCTCTCTGTAGCCCCTGGGCAGCTTTTTAACCACCCTGGAGCCCTCTCCCAAGTCCTGCACTAAATGAAAACAATTTTTTTTAAAGTCTATGTGGCCTAAATCCCTTTGCCTTAGCATTCTTCAAAATGCTTGTGGCTGAACAGACTTTGCAAGCCTGGTCTGGTGCTCTCTGTATGCCATACTGTATCCAGCCATCCTGTCAATTGCCACATGTTCAGCAAAAGTAAAATTAACAGAGAGTTGTTTGTACACTGCAGGCAATTCTGCCTGCTATTCCACTCAGTGAAGGGATACGAATCCGCTGTTCCCAGTGGGTCTTGGTTCCTGCCTCCTGCCTCCTCCTTACCGTGCAAGAACTGGCCAGGTTTAGTGAAGCTCTAGCGCAGTCCTAGACACAGGCCAACCCTTCTCCTGGGGCTCCACTGAAGAGACAATATTCTGTCCCAACACCTTAGTGAGGAATGGTGTCATGGGCTCTAATGTGGCACTTCCGATTGCTTTCCAAGGGTCATCTGGGCCATTCTTCCAGTCCTGAGAGCCTGAGCCTGGGTGTGCTGGCTCTGCGGTGATCACTGCCAGCACAGGGGGCAGGCTGCCAGGAAAGAAGCCATGCAGATCAGCACGTGTGTTCAATGGCCCCCCTCTTGCTGCGGCATCTTAAGGGCAGGGGAGTGTGGAGAGAATGAAAACTTGAACAAACCTATACATCACTGGACTATAAAAAATCATTAAAATATCGAGGGATTTGAAGGTTTAATGACCCAGCAAAGATGGAAAATACAGTTAAATGCAGATCGCAGTCATTAAAAATGCGTTTTGCACGCCACATTTACCTCCCATGAAAATGGGGCAGGGTGGGGGCAGGAATACACTTAGGGTGAGAATGCCACAGCTCCCTGAGACGGCGGGTCAGAAAAGTGAGTCACAGTTCTCACTGAGTGCCCAGTGGGGTCAAAGCTCTCAGGTGCTCGAGTGGTCTTCCCGTGGAGGCTGGTGGCTCTGTCACCATTTAAAGCTGCAGCCAATCCACCACTGCAGAGCTTTCTGAACTGTGCAAGACGCAGGAAGCTCTCTCTTGAGAGAACTCCCCTCACAGGGAAAGATGCCAGGAGGGTGCTGGCTTGGCAGAAGCATCAGGAAGTAAGGCAGCTGGAGAAATGTATGTGACAAGAAACAGGAGCAACTGGGAGCAGCTTCCTAGAGAGAACAAGTTAGTCTCCGACCACAGCATGTTTCTTTTTTCTGACCAGACCTTCCTTTCTGTGTTAGCTTGTTAGAGTTACTGTAACAAAGCACCAGAGACTTGGTGGCTTAACCAAAATGACTTTATTTTCTCACTGTAATGGAGGCTAGAAGTCGAAGATCAAGGTGCAGGCAGGCTTGGTTTCCTCTGAGGCGTCTCTCCTTTGCTTGCAGACGGCCACCTTTTCCCTCTGCCTTCACACCCCTTCCCTCCTCCTGTTTCCAGATCTCTTCTTATAAGGACACCAGTCATTACTGTATCAGGGCCAACCCTAAAGACCTCATTTTAACTTAATTATCTCTTTAAAGCCCCAGTTTCCAAATCAGTCATATTCTAAGGTACTGGGGTTTAGGACTTCAACATATAAGTTTGGGGGGGCACAAGCCAAACCAAAAGAGTTGTTAAATGATTATAACACCTTCAAAAGGAGGCCTGGGGAGGGGCTGCTTTGTTTTATAGAGAAAAACAAATGTTTGTGGAGTGGCTTCTGCCTTTCTAAGTTTTTGACTCCAGTGATACAGGGTGAATGTGTTAGCTGCTCAGTCGTGTCCGACTCTTTGCAACCCCACGGACTGTAGCCCACCAGGCTCCCCTGTCCATGGAATTCTCCAGGCAAGAAACTGGAGTGGGTTGCCACTCCTTTCTCCAGGTGATCTTCCGGACCCAGGGATCGAACTCTGGTATCCTGCATTGGTAGGTGGGTTCATCACAAGCACCACCTGGGAAGTCCTCAGAACATATAGTTAAGTGAACAAAAACAAGTAATGCTTGCTTTATAATACACGAAAGTATATTACCATTTGGAAAAAGGTGGGGGGTGGGTGGGTAGGTATGTATGTTAAAAAAAATTCTTGGAAGAATGAAAAACAAAAAAGAGGGAGTCCTAAAGACCCCCTTTAATGCTAAAGATAGTGTGACTAAGATGTCAGGTCCTGACCTCTGAAAGTGGGAGCAAAGGGACAAGCACCCTGGCCTGTCCCCCCACCCAGTTCAGGTGAGCGTGAGGAGGAAGCTGCGGGACTGTCTGTCCCGTATAGCACCCAAGACGGGTGCTTCAAAGAGATTTTCTCCTTTTAATTGTTTACAGTTTCGCTTTGAGATAGGTATTTTTATTACCCTCATTCATAGATAAGGAAAGGAGAGCCAAGAGCAGTTAAGCAACTTGATCAAACCCATAAAGCAAGTTGCCAAAAATAGGGCTGTACACCCTGGCCTCGGGATCCCAGCCACTGCCTCCCTCTCTGGTTGGATGCCGGCTGAAGCTCCTGGGTCCTGGCCACAGGGAGGTCACGCTTCCTTAGGGACCTGGTTTCTGCCTCCTCCTTCACACCCTCCCAGAGTGGGCCACCAGGCCCAGCTGCAAGGGAGGGGGCTTCTCCCAGCCTCCCGTCTCCTCTTCTGCCTCTAAGCCACTGGTTTTCAATGTAATTGTGTACGAAAATTGCTTGAGGAGCTTTCAAAATTACTGATGCTCAGGTCCTATCCTTAGAGATTTAATTTGTATGGGTTTCAGCCTAGGCATGGGGATTTTAGAAACCCCCCAGGTAACCGAATTGCAGGAGATGTGAGTTTGATCCCAGGGTTGAGAAGATGCGCTGGATAGGAAATGGCAACCCACTCCAGTATTCTGGCCTGGAAAACTTCATGAACAGAGAAGCCTAGTGGGCTACAGTCCATGGGGTTGCAGTCAGACATGACTGAGCAATTAAGGATGCACACACACACACACACACACACACACAGAGGTAATCCTAACGTGCAGCCATTTGAGAAGCAGAGCTTTGAGCTCCTGCTGTTTTCACGCGTACTCAGGTCAGGGATCATAGGCATCACCTGGGTGTTAGACCTGCATGCTCTCTGGCCCAGCCCAGACATACTGAATCAGAAATTTGTGTGAACAGACAGTGAAGGGAAGGGCGTCCATGACTTCACAAGCCTTCCTCATGATTCTCTGTCTGTGCCCCAAAGCTTGAGAACCGCTGCGTGGTGCAGCAAGCCAGAGACAGACCCTCCAGTGCTGTGGTTTGCGTCATGAACTGTCACAAAATTGCAGTGTTATCACCAAGGAAGATTAAGTTGATGGTCCCGGGCAATGAGACTGTCCAGGCCTTTCCCCCAAGGATAAAACTTCAAGGCCTGTGAGAATGTGTTTAACTGTGATTTGGAATCGACTGGAGGAGAATCGGCTCCATGCTTCTCTCTTGGCTTCTCCAGGCTGCGGGCAATCCTTGGGGCTCCTTGGTTTGTAGACCAACTGCTCCAGTCTCTGCCTCTGTCCTCACATGACCTTCCCCTCTGTGTCTCGATTTTCCCTCTCCCTTCTCTTAATAGGACAGTCCCTGGATTTAGGGCCCACCCTAAATTTGTTGTGTGGATCACGACAAACTGTGGAAAATTCTTAAAGAGTTGGGAATACCAGACCACCTTACCTGCTTCCTGAGAAATCTGTATGCAGATCAAGAAGCAAGTTAGAACTGAACATGGAGCAATGGACTGGTTCCAAATTGGGAAAGGAGTTTGTCAAGGTTGTATATTGTCACCTTGCTTATTTAATTTATATGCAGAGTACATTATGCAAATTGCCAGGCTGGATGAAGCACAACCTGGAATCAAGATTGCCGGGAGAAATATCAATAACCATATTTAGCTTCATATTCATATTTAGCTTCAGCATCACTTCACGGCAAATAGATGGGGAAACAATGGAAACAGTGGCACACTTTATTTCCTTGGGCTCCAAAATCACTGCAGATGGTGACTGCCATGAAATTAAAAGACGCTTGTTTGCTCCTTGGAAGAAAAGCTATGACCAACCTAAACAGCATATCAAAAAGCAGAGACATTACGTTGCTGACAAAGGTCCATCTTGTCAAAGCTATGGTTTTTCCAGTAGTCATGTATAAATGTGAGAGTTGGACCATAAAGAAGGCTGAGTGCCGAATAATTGATGCTTTTGAACTGTGGTGTTGGAGAAGACTCTTGAGAGTCCCTTGGACAGCACAGAGATCAAACCAGTCAATCCTAAAGGAAAGCAGTCTTGAATATTCATTCGAAGGACTGAAGCTGAAGCTCTAGTACTTTGGCTAGCTTCTGTGAAGAACTGACTTGTTGGAAAAGACCCTGATGATGAGAAAGATTGGAGGCAGGAGGAGAAGGGGTCGACAGAGGATGAGATGGCTGGATGGCATCACTAAATCGAGGGACATGAGTTTGAGCAAGCTCTGGGAGTTGGTGATGGACAGGGAAACCTGGCGTGCTGCAGTCCATGGGGTCACAGAGTTGGACACGACTGAGCTGCTGAACTGAACTGACTGAATCTAGAATGATCTTATCTCAAGACTTTCCACTCACTCACACCTGCTAAGGTTCTATTTCCAAATAGGGTCACCCTCACAGGTGGTGGGGGAGGGGCTTAGGGTTGAGTGTACCTTTGGAGGGCCTGCCATTCAACCCACTGCAAATGGGAAACAAACTCCACTTTCTCACAGCAGCCCTCTCTAATGC